GCCAGAAATAAATTCCTAATATAGACAACTAAAATATGCCACTATAGGGTTTAACTGTCAAAACAGGAGCAAGACTTTCTTGCTTCAGTACTATCTTAGCAAACAGCCTGTGCTTGTCCTCTCATCTGCAAACCTTCAGTTATAGATAAATACTATGGCACCATCACAGTATACTGGGAATCTAGGGGGTCACTGGTCACTGGAGCAGTAAACGTCATCTCTTTACACCTGTGACTCCAATATGGCAAGTTATTGAGTCAAGAATTCTTAAAGTCAAGAATAATTAGGTAGCAGTGCTATCATATTTCTGATATCAGCAGTTGTCCACATTTATTCATTAATACTCATGTTAATCACATGAAGTCAGTATTTTTGTTTTCATTTCAGAGAAGATTAGAGAATTCAAGCAACTTACCCAAGTTCATAGCCAATGAGGGTTAAGGTCAGAAATGACATGACTTATGACATGACTGTTCTCCCTGTCTATGCTGCCCAGTCACAATTTTTAAATCCTCTGCAATAGAAAACCTTAGCATGTGCCATGTGAGTGTGAGAACAGTGAGACACCTCGCAGGCCCATCATTGTTATAACACATATTCAGACCCGCGGGTACACAGATTTGGTGTGGGGCTTGGAGTAAGTCATACCTTTTCTAGCATTCAGTAATTCTGTCCATGAAAGAGAGAAATAATGGTTCTTTATTCATTCATTCAACAAGTAGTCTAAAGCTTGATGCTGCCATGGAGGAAAAGAAAACTGGCACTCTCAAAAAAAAAAAAAAAAAATAGGAGCCCCAGTCCTAAAATAAAAGCAATAAAAAATTCCAATTGCCTAGAGGATTATAGTCAAGATTGGTAGTTTGCATTCATTTTCTTAAAACAGCTTGAATTTTTTTTTCATGTAACTGTCAAGAAAACAGAATTACAGGCTCAACCACCCAATGTAATGTAGTACTACTTAGATACACAGAAACCTGGACCTTCAGGGTTCCTGTGAGTGGTACAGAAAACTTCTTCCCTAAAGTGTCAGCAATGCACAATGCATCTCTAGACTCAAAACAAAATTAATATTCTAGAAACTCAAGATACATTTCCATGTGCCAGGAATTTATTTCTTTCAGTGAAGGCTAGGATTGTTTATTGCCCCAAAGCAAAAAGTGCAGGAAGACCAATGAGCTTAATGCAAAAACTGATGGCAGAAGCGATATTTAGGAAACAAAACAGAGTGGGGATTTGGAAGAAAGGCAAATAATTTGAAAGCCCATTTTGTTCAGATTTCTAAAGTTAATCTTGCTGATGGACTGGAGTGCATTAAGGAACTGTTGAGTGAGAGAGCGAAGAAAATCACATCAACAGCTGAGAGAGAGAGAGAGAGAGAGAGAGAGAGAGAGAGAGAGAGAACTGTTCTCTTAAAAATAATTCTCTTAAAGACAAAGAGTTCACGGTGCTGGGGTGTATGCTGGGAAATGAGAAGTTAAGGCACAGCTCATTTCCCCAGTTGAGAGTCTAGTCACTGGAGTCCAGGATCTGGGACTAAAAAGTGCACATAAAGCTGGGCGTGCTGGCACATGCTTCTAGTTCCAGCACTCTCGAAGGTTAAGGCAGGGCTGCAATTTAGGTCCAGCAGCTCAGTGATATCCTCAGCAGCTCAGTGATATCCTGTCTCATAATAAAAAGGGGGTGGAGGCAGCAATGTAGCTCGGTGCAAAGCCCTGGGTAAAATTTCCAGTGCCACCAAAGAAACAAAGAAAAATACACATAAGTAGCTGACTATTTCTCAGTTCTAAGTTGTTTGATTTGTGCCCAGTTTCCAGAAACTGGTTGCAAGAGGCATAATCACAAAGTCATTAACCAATAGATCATACCTGCACCAATCCCACAGGCCTAATTTGTATCCAGGGGGTCACATTTGAACTTTAAGGTGATTTTCCCCTCTTCACAGCAGGGATATCAAGTCTTTCCTAGTACAATCGGGGATGGGGTGGGAGAGTAAATGGAAATGAATAAATTAAGAAGTAAAATACTAAAAAAAAAAAAAAAAAGAAGTAAAATACTTATCAAAGCCCAGCTTATATACAGGACTTTAGTCAAAAAGTAGGCTAATCGGGGCTGGGGATTTAGCTCAGTGGCATAAGCGCCTGCCTTGTAAGCAGGCAGTCGTGAGTTCGATCCCTGGTACCGATAAAAACGAAAAAGACAAAAAAAAAAAAAAAAAATAGGCTAATCACTACTGTAAGTGGAGTGTTCAAAGTGTAACTCATGACATACCTACACCACATCTCTGAGGATGCTGCATTTCAACTCTGCTTAAATAGTTAAGACAGCTGGCCTTAACAGTACACATCTGTGATCCCAACATTACTAGGGAGGCTGAAGCAAGCAGACTGCTGTGAGTTGAAGCCAGCCTGGGCTACACAGCAAGACTCAGTCTCAAAAAAAAAAAAAAAAAGAAAGAAAGAAAGAAAGAAAGAAAGAAAGAAAGAAAGAAAGAAAGAAAGAAAGAAAAGAAAAAGATTCAGGGTTCTTTTTAAATAAAGTGTACCATAATCATCAGCAGAGCTGTTTTGAGTTCAGCTGCTTGCAGTGTTTTAGAGAAGCATTTCAATGCAATCCTAATGGCTATAAAATGAATAATCTCACCTCTCCTGGACGTTGGATGCACAGTAAGGAGAATGGGCTTTCAACTGTAGACATAGGAACCACCAAGCTGGTTGTGACCGAAAGAGGAACAGAAGGTTCTGAATATAGTAAATAGGATGAGAAGGAAAAGGAAGTGGAGAGGGAGAGAGAGAAACATACAGAGAAACTGGAGACAGTCAATTCAAAAGACAAACTGGAAACTGTTAGGAAAAGCAAATCACAGCTCCTAGAGTCAGGGGCCACTGTTGCTAGGCTGGTTGTGTTGGACCATGTCACTCAAACCTTGTTTGAGAGCCCAATTCCAAGACTGAGAAGAGCGAGCATCCCTCCTATCCTCGGTTTCACTTCTGCCTTCTGTAGTCTTCCTTCTCTCTGGCTGGCATGAGCCACTCCACTTGTAAGGGAGTGAACAGACGGGCAGAGAAGGACAAGCACCATGTGACTTCTGCATGCCAAGGAGAGCCTCGAAGGGGTAGACGGGGTGGTGGCTTCAGCTCAGCCCTCCTCCAGCTGAGTAAGCCTCACCTCGTGCAGATGTCTGCCTCTTTGGACCTGAGATTCCTCATCCATAAACAGGCAACCTTGGATGATTGTCATGGTTCTATAATATATTAATGTAAAGATACATTGGGCCGCATGTGGATCATACTCAACAGGATGGACCACTGAACAAAATGCTAGAACTCTTAAGCGCTTGCTTTCCTCATTTTTGTTTTCTACTCTTTATCTGTTTTGTTTTGTTTTGCTTCATTTCATTTTCTCATGCAGTGTTTTTCCTGTCTTCTTTGTTTTTTCTCGTCTTCTACCAATAGCAGGGAAAGGGCTACTTCAGTAAGTCAGGAAGCTGAGGTCATCTGTTTGTCGATGAGCTGAGCAGGAGCCAAGGCCCAGCCAGCCAGCCCTTTTCCACGCTCTTCAGCTGGTGACCTTCAACCCTGCACCAGCAGGGAAAGGAAGCTGAACTCAGTCTCTCTTCTGACTTACTTTTTATTACTCCTTTCTCTGCCAAGCTGCAGGCTTTCGGGTGTTCCACACATACTTCTTCCTCACTGCCTACAAACCAGCAAGGTGACACTTGTCACTCCTTTCCCAGGAAAAATATTAAAGAGAGAGATGATTTGAACAAGTCTTGCTCTTAGTTTGAAGCTAACCACCATGTGTACATGTGTGTGCACACACACGCAGTGCCCAGCCTCCTGTCTGTAATGACCCTATTCATCCTCTGCTACTGAGGTCCAGCAGATCAGCAGGACCATGGCAGCTTCTCTCTCAAACAAAGGACCAGACCCCGAGGAGCCACTGATCTTTAATTCCCCTGAGTGATTATTGTATTTGCGAATCATCATCTCCTGACTCATCTCCATTGGAAGGGCGCTGAGGCAGGCTCTCCTCCACCTTCTGTCCTGCTTCACCTTCCCCCAGTGCTTAGACCCCTCAGTCCTCTCCCGTGCCAGCCTGGCTCTCTCTAGGCAGACAGCTGAAGTTGCTCTTGAACTACTAAGTTAAGAGCATAGAATCTATTTCTTCTAGTCCTCATACCCGAAGGAGATTAGAGTGATTCAGAACTCCCAAGCACAACCTTATTATTGGATAACTAGAAAAGCTTTAAAATAATATTCCACTTAACTACCACGGTAGGCCTGAATCTACAAATAGCCCAAAGCCAACCAGATGAGGAAAGATTTGCCAGCCAGACATGGTGGTGCATGCCTGTAATCCTAGCACGCAGGAGGCTGAGGCTGTGAGTTCGAGGCCAGCCTGGGCTACAAGGTGAATTGAAAATCAACCTGAACTTGATAGCAAGACTCTGTCTCAAACACACAGGCACACACACACACACACACAAATTTAATTGTCAAATCAGTGCTTTAGAAAGTGCAAGTTACATTAAAATTAGAGTTGGCACTTTTTCCACTCTAATCACTTAGAATAATACCAATAATGTTTTCATCTACTGGTAGGCACTTTTATACATTAACATGAATTACTTCAATAATGCTGTGAAAGTAAAGATTATCCCATTTTTAGATAAGAAAAACTATAAACTCATAAACAGGTGGGACAAAGATCTGACTGATTTCACAGACTACACAGACTAAAAATTCATTAAACAAGATCTAATCAGTGAATAAGAGACTTCTGCACCCTAAGAGTGCTGCCTCTAACTAGGAGTATGACCCTAAGTACATCTTTCAGGTTTCACTTTCCTTGTCCATGAAGTAGGAGTGTTGGATCTGACCCCGGGCACATCTTTCTGAGTTCAATTTCCTGTCTATGAAATAAGAATGTCAGATCAATTATTCCTTCCGGCTCCCACACCTGGAAGCGTGCTCTCTAATCCCCGCATGTCTCCTCCACAGGGGCTTAACCTCAGCACAATAGATTCTAACAGGAAGTGCCACTTCAGAAGCTCTGGAAATGACTCACAGAATAATTCTGCTCTCCAGAGAGAAACCGTAACTCATATGACTGTGATGGCCCACTGGCTGGGTCTGACTTAGATAACCCGCTGCTCTTCATCCTCCTTCCGCTCCAGAGACCCCTCTGATGACGTTAGAGGTGGGACGAGTGTTCACTGCTTATCACTTGTGTGTTTAAAGGGGTAGTGACTCAAAAGTGAAATGGGGGGAGAAAAATATTATACACCCACACATGTCCTTTATAAAAACCCATTTCAAGAACATGTTAATGATCATATTGTCTCCCTAGTGTAAGAACTGAAAATATATATATATATATAATTTCTTATAATTATATATATAATTTATATATAATATGTAATATTATATATAAATTATATACATAATTTCTTAATATAATATATAATAGTTAAGATGGTTATACTACTAATTTCTGTTAGTTCATTGAAAGCAAAATATTTGTGCTAATGTTGTTTGGACAATTAAATGCAGATATATTGTACTCTGAGTAACTAATTTAAAGATAACAATTTTCAATGTATTAACCATTGTTATTCTCTATCTCATTTTGAAATTTTTTTCTTTAAAATAAATTTTAAAAGAGAACATGCTAATGATAGATGGGACTAGAATGACTCAGTGGTAAGGATTCTTCATTTAATAAAAGGAATCACCAAGATTCCTACCAATCACGTGTTTACAATCCATCAAAGGCTAATATGATGGATAAATGCCAAATCTAATGTAATTGGAATAAATGCTGACAGATGCAGTTCAAAACTACAGGAGTATGTGCTATTTAATATGTTAACATAATACTCTGTTTGCAGATTTGCTTTGGACATAATCTTTGGGATCACTTTTTATTGAAACAAAGATGTGTGAGCAGGGGCTGGGGATTTAGCTCAGCGACATAAACGCCTGCCTTGCAAGCAGGCAGTCGTGAGTTCGATCCCTGATACCGATAAAAATGAAAAAGACAAAAAGAAAAAAAGATGTGTGAGCACATATTTTTTATGGCATAACACCCATGGAAATGAATCTTTACAGTGGAGCAAAGTGTGTATTAGTCAAAGAGGGAGAGGTGGAGGGAAGATGTGAGGATAAGCTTAGAAAAGAGGCATGGTAAAAATACTCTACTGACTTGTTACTAGGTGCTAATAGATGAAAGGATGCCATTTGACGTAATTCTTCAAGTTACATAACCAAAATAAAAGAGCTTCTGCCAAACCATCTAGAATATCAGCAGAACATGAAATTGTATGTTAAGAAGACATCTGCACTCCCATGTTCCCTGTGGCACTAGTCACAAAAGCCACAATATGGATCAAACTCCATTACCTTTCGAAAGAAAATACGGCTTACATACACACACAGTGGAATATGACTCAGCCATTAAAAAAGAATTAAATTCTGTTGTTCGAGGAAGCATGGGAGTAGAGGTTGTTATGTTAAGTGAAACAAGCCAGGCACAGAAAGACAAATACCATGTAATATATGTCATGTGAAACCTGAAAAAGCTGATCTCAAAGAAGTTGAGACTCCAAGGATGATCACCAGAGTCTGAGCATATTGAGGAGAAGGTGAGGCGAGATTGATAAACACATGCCAAGATGGAGTTAGAAGCAGTAAGAAGTTCTGGCGAGCTATTGTACCACCAGAAGGTAGCTATCGATACTGTGTGTCTCAAAAAACTAGAAGAAAGGATCTTGAACGTTTTCACTGTAAAGAAATTATAAATATTTACACATTCATTGTGATGTAAACGTGATACACATGTATACATGTACTGAAATGTAGCACAGTGTGTGTCTTGGTCATTTTCTGTATCACTGGGGCAAAACAGCCAATAACCAACCCTTAAAAGAAGCGAGGTTTACTGTGCCTAATGTTTTAGAGGTTTTGGTGTCTGCATTGACTGCTCCAAGGCTGTAAGGCATGACGGAAGCCCTGGGCAGAGGAAAGCTGCTCAGCTCATGGCCACCAGGAAGCAGAGAGGGAAGGAAGGAGCCAAGGAAGGAAATGCACCCTTCAGATCACATCTCCAGTGACTCACTGCTTCTGACCAGGTCCCAGCTCCGAACAGCACATTCAGCTATGAATTCATTAGTGGACTAATCCACCCCTAAGTGTAGCATCCCATGACCCAGTCACCTCCCAAAATTCCTGCCTCTGAGTGCTTGAGGCTTTGGGAGCATATCTAGATATAAATCATAACAGTGCCCAACAACCAAGTACAATTTTTCAATGTTCTATATCAGTTGAAAAATGAATTGTAAAGAGAAAATTAATAGAACTCTTTTGATCAGCATGCTAACCACTGAAGGGAGTTTGATCAATGGAAATTACTTCTTATAATAAAGACAGACATTGTCAGAATGAAGAATGCTTCCTAGGAAGAACTGGAAATCTTGTCACTGCCCCTGGCTTGCCATGTTCCGTCCATAAAGAGCATATTATCAATAGTACCCCATGGATATGCTTTTAAAATTTGTTTTTGTTTCATTTTTTTGTTTTATTTTGTGTTCATTTGGGGGTTTTGTTTGTTTGGCTGGTTGGTTGATTTTGTTATTGTAGGACTGGGAATTGAATTGAGAACCTTCACATTAAGCTAAATCTCAAGCCTTTTTCTTAATTTTTTATTTTAAGACAGTGTCTCAAGGAGTTGCTAAATGGCCCACATTGGGCTCAAACTCAGTCCTTTTACATTAGCTTCTCAGAGTGCTGAAATTACAGGCATATAGCACAACACTGGGCGTCTTTTAAAATTTTGACCACTTTTCCACATGGTATTTCTCATTAAATCCTTGTCATGATCCCTAATCAGCGCTGATATACCATCTTCATTTTATAAACAAAGAAACTGAGGTTCAGAAGTTAAAACAATTTGTCAAAGACTTTAAAGACTGAAATTTTTCTTTATGCTATTAACCTAAAATGTTGAACTTTTGTTGTTGTTTAGAGACAGCATCTCACTATCCAGTTCAAGCTGACCTTGAACTCAGTGTGTAGCCCAGGCTAGCTTCAAACTCACAGTGATCCTCCTACCTCAGTCTCCTGAGTGCTGGGATTACCAGAGTGTGCCACCACACCTGGTTTGGACTTCTGACTCAGTCCAGTGGTCACCTTGATATCTCAGTGAATCAGGGTTTGAGGTGTGCCAATCAAAGTGGTTTGAGCAGAAAACAGCTTACACATTATCTGTGAAGATATATCACAGAAGTTTCCCAGACTGCTGAGTCTGAGAATCATTGAGCAAATACTAGTTGAAAGAAGATTAATAGGTTCTACACTAGCCCTGAAAAAGACAGTGCTGACAGCTGTGGGACCTGGATTGTCCGGCCTCAGGCCATGAAGCCCAGAGGATGAAGTAAAACAAGAAAGAAATGAGCAATTGTTACTGAGAAGAGGATGAGGGAAGATGGGGATTGAGACCAGGAAAAGGTCTCTGGGTGTGTATGGGATGCATCTTTTTGTTGTTGTTGTTAAATACTGTTTTAAGTTCCAGACTCTTGGTAAAAGTGATTATATATGAAAAAATTTCAGTTTACAGCCTGAATGTAAATCAAACAGATTGAGTACAATGCTTTGTTAAAAGTGAAAACCACTGCCTGTTATTCTTAGAATTTTCCACTGTTGTTGAAGGGAGTTGCAGGTACAGGGCGCTTTCTGCTCCTGGACCATTGTGAATGGAACACCAGGACCCCTGCAGAGGCTGTGCCTCCTGCAGCTCCCCACCAGCACCCCACCCTAGAAGATTTAAGAGTCGTTAAGTAGTGTGTTTAGAAGAGTTTCAGGTAGTGTTAATTTTTGTCTCATTACTCATAAAGTCTCGTCATGTGGTTTTCTCATGGTTTTTGAGCACACGGATTTTCTTCCCTGTGAATTGCTTCTTCTACCAGTTGCCATTTTTCATTATGTTGTTTAACTTTTTCTCCTTCTATGCCTGTAGAAATTTTAAAATGCATGTGATTTATAATAACCCATTTTAGTTACATGTATTAAATGTACCTTCTTTAGGTCCATAGATTTTCTTTCTATATTTCCCCTTTATCGCAGTTTTTAACATTTTATTTTATTTTATTTTATTTTATTCTATTTTATTTTATTTTATTCTATTTTATTTTATTTTTGGGTACTGCGGGACCGAACTCAAGACCTTACACTTGCCAGGCAAATGGTTGAGCCACTAAGCTAAATTCTCAGCCCCACTGTCACGTTTTTCAGTTTAGTTTATGATGGTACCAAGAAGATTTACAATTATTTGCACTTACCATCCTGCTGAGATAATTCTAATTTCTTTGTCTTTTTGTTGGAAGCGGGAATCAAACTCATGACCACGTGCTTGCAAGGCAGGCACTTATGCCACTGAGCTAAATCCCCGGACCCTCTAATTTCTTTTTAAACAGGGACTTTGCACTGAGCTACAATCCCTAATCATTTTTTATTGTTTTGTTTTGTTTTGCTTTGCTTTGTTTTGCTAAGCCACTTAAATTGCCCAGATTGAGCTTGAACTTTCAATCTTCCTGTCTCAGCAGCCTCCCAGAGAAAATCTTGAAAAGAATGAATCTGTCATAGTTACTTTTCTTGTTCAAGTACCTTTAACCCAAAGTTGAAGGTGGAAAGGCTCACAGTTTATAGAGGTTTCAGTGCATAGTTGACTGACTCCCAGGCAGGGTGGCATGGCACCGGGGCATCACAGGAAAGAAATGGTTCATGGCAGGCAGAAGGCAAAAGGCAAGTGACAAGCATCAACTCTCTTCCTATCCATTATCTCCTATCCAGGCTGCCTTCCCTTAGACTGAGTAACACTCTTACACAAGGGGCAGCCTTAGTCCTAGCACAGTAGCATGAATCAATCCCAGCATCGCATCCTCAATCCCAGCAGCGTGCACCCTAGATCCAGCCACCGCCAAAATGCCCCACCTATGACCATAGGAGACTTTGGGGAGACATCTACATGTAACCCATAACAGAGTCCTTAGAAAACAATCTGTCTTTCCCATGAAGACAGGTTTTACAGAATATTACATTAAAGATGCTAAAATTATAGAGGCAAATGTAGATCTCTTGTGCTATTTATTTTCATCCACGATAGCTAAACTTTGTTCCAAAAGGAAATTTAGTTGGAGTAATGCT